CTATTGACTGTCATTAAATCAGTTTTTTTTTAAAAGAGAGAGAGAAAAGGGAAATAAACCAAACGCGTCTCGTGCTACAGCTGTAGGCACCGCATTGCATTTCATTTAAAACCCCACCACCACCCCCCACACACCCCCCCACACACACACACACGAGGGGGGGAAGGGATGAGCAAACAGCAATCTACAATTTTAAAGAAACACGCCTGGGTTTTACCCCCAAAAAATCTATCTGAACACGTTAAGGTACATTTAAAGTCCATTTGGGATTTGATTTAATTTTTTTTATTTTGAACTGTCACTGCTGAATCAACCCCTGAAAGAAGTGCAATCCTATTTAACATGATAACTGGTGAGTGACCTTGTCATTTTTTTTTTCACCTCCCCAAATGATATTGACCAATATTGTCACGGCGTTTCTGGAACCAAGACCAAACATGGACTAAAATAGCCTCATAGTACTTAGAATTTGTTTTTTTTTTGGGGGGGGGTTATACAATATGTGCTTACTCACTGATGGCTTATTTATAAAATGGCTACTTGTTTCGCATTTGTTCTTGCAAAGCCAGCAAACAGGCGATTGATTGCACAACTCAGAATATTCCACGTTTTATAAATGGTGTTAATTACGTTTAATGAAAACGACTGATCCAAACAGAACTACATGGCTGAAGCGACGTTACCAGAGCAAAAAAAAACCTACAAACCGATTTTACTCTGCTGCCAATATTTCAGCAAATATTTGTTAAATTAGAAAGTACACAGGTGTAATACTCTAATTTCAAACGTGCATTTGAATAAAACAATTGCATCTATTATTGCCAAACTTGGATCCATACTTTTAACATTCAGGTTGCATCCACATCCATTTCCATGTTTGTACTGCAAATAGAAAATCAACAAAGCCCACAAAAGATGGCGAACCTCAACTAAAAGTAACGAGACACATCTTAAATATTGTTCCCTGCATTTTATCCTATGGGTAAACATCAGGCCAGGAAACAAAATCAGCATTTCAAGTTGAAACAAAACGTTTTTTTTTGGAAGAATGGATCATTAGGGTAGCCGTATCCATATGTTTCCTTCTCCATTAAAATAGCAAAGGAAAGCCAAGCCACTTAAGGCAGTAAATATTATTAACACTATAGATTTGGCACTTACTATCTTACATACACAAATCAGCTTTTGTAGTATAAATGGCAAACGCAACGTTACAACGAATAATCGCATAATTGTACATACATTAAATTAATATCTAAATTCTGACAGCTTTTTTTTACTTACTCACTTCATAAGATCACATGCAACATTGCTTTACCAGGGGAAGGTCAATGTGAGACCTTGCAGTAGTCAAGGTCAAAAACCAAGCGTATCTATTATCAATATTAAGTTTAATGACATGTGAATAATTCATTCTGTCGGGGCCAGTGGGAGTAAAAGAGAACATAACAACCCTGATTTTCTTGCGGCACAATTAACATCTGATTGATAGACCGCTGCCTTTTAATTCAATCTGTAGTTTTGTCATTTGCTGGGAAGGGAGGGAGGGTGGGTGGGTGGGGGAAGGGATTTGGGTTGCAACACTCGTATTATTATTATTATTATTTTTTTTTTTTAAAAATTCTCGGATACCCGAAACAGTATTACCTGAGTGTGAACCTTTGAAATATTTTGGAAAATTGTGCCAATTGTTTTCCTTTCTGTCTGTGTCTCTCTCTCTCTCTCTGTGTGTGTGTGTGTGTTGCGCGCAATCAAAACTTGCAAAGCGCTCCAGCTGATCGGCTCAGCTCAGCTCAGCGCGAGCTCGGGTCTGACTGGAGGGACCGCGGCGCGCCGCGCGGCATGGCGGGAGTTGCAGTCCTGGCGGTGACCTCGCGGCTCAGGGGAAGAGTCCCGGCGGCGCTGGAACTACATTACCCAGAATCCTCCCCCTTCCCCCCCCCCGCCACTGCGCCGGTCGCCCGCCGCACAATGGGCATCGCACTTCCGGCTGCCTCCGCGCGGTTGTTATTGTTACCTCAGAGCCGCTGAATGGAGGTTTTAGTTCGCGAGTCGTAGTTGGTGTTTGGGAAAGGATTTTTTTTTCTTTGTACGCACACGCCGAGACCCCCCCCCCCCCACACACACACAGCCGTCCTGCGGCGGGTTTTTATCATTTATATATCTATATAACAAAAACCCCGCGCAGGTTCAACGCGCTGAGCCGCGGAGTGTTCGGAATCACATTTATTTCCTTTTTTTTAAAAAAAAACTTTGGCGCTGGGCTTCCTCCCAACCTTCCTCCGTGTGTGAGTGTGTGTGAGTGAGTGGGTGTGCGTGTGTGTGTGTGGCTCAGGCCGACCCGGGGCCTAGTCCGACTCCGCATGAGCGAGAGTCTCGTCTGGTCGCGCCCGCGAGCACTTTTTCGCCCGAACTGAAGTGGACGACGCGACTTCGTTTCGAAAATGTCGGGCGGCGCAGAGCTCTCCTCCAGTGCTTCAGCCCACATGTACCCGGACAGGTGAGTCTGTGCGAAGTGCGAGCGAGCGAACGGGCGAGTTTCGGTGGCTCGGGAATTGGCCCCGAACGTGGCCCAAGTCGGCAGTGCCCCACAGACAGAGGGGCCTTCGCCAAGTGTTTTTGATGCGTAAAGCGGCGGCGTCTCTCTTTATGGATTTTTTTTTGTTTGTTTTTTGTTTTTTTTTCCCCCCGAAAAAAGGTGAAGGCAGTTTGTCGCTCCGCGCGCGCACCGCCACACACGCCGCCGCGCGCGCGCGCGCGTACAGGCGCACAACGTGTTTGAGGTGGATTTAGTGATCCGTAGCATTTTTGTTTCGCTTCGGTGAGACGTTTTGCTCGCAGAGGTGGTGTATTTTTCATCTACGGGGGGGGGTCGTTTACATATCCACTGCTTATGTGCAAGTGGGGACAACGGTCGTTCGTAGGTTTGCTTCTGCGCTCCAGTGATTTGTAGACTTGTCTTGTCCTTTACTTTCCGTTTTATTTTCACGACGATCGATGATTTACCAAAACTTAGTTGGAAACTTCTCTCTTTGCAAGTATTCTTCACGTCAGGCCGTCCCAGTGGGTTGGGATCCAAATGTTTTTTTGGCAACCATAGTTTTCGTGAATAGTATTTCATTGTTACGTTTGTTTATGTTACCAGTTGTTCTGGTGAAATTGACAATCCATCATCGGTGCACGGAAATTGATGTTTACAATTCATTTGTGTCAGTTTGACAATCCATTATTCCCAGAACAAAGATAGAAAAACAACATTTCTAGCGAAGTCTGTGCTTCATCAGTAGAGACCTACTTTTTCCCTATTTTGCTTATTTTTCATAGAATTCCATAGAATGATATGGCACAGAAGTAGGCCATTTGACCCAACTAATCCATGCCAAACCTCATCTTTTATACATGTGACAGTTATTCATTCAGTTGGTGTTTCAGTCTAGGGTCAAGTCTTCCCACAGCAAAAAGATAAAAAACATTTACGTCTGCCCACAGTGAATAAACCAGATGTATGTATGTCTATCTAATCTCTATCTGTATATATCTACAAAAATTTGCAGGTCTGTAGTGACTGTTGGATGTTTTTGACACATCAGTCTGACACATATGAAAACCCATCACTGTGCTTAAGAGTATCCAAACGAAACTGGGAATTCCATGCATCCCACCTACACATCGAAATTCCAGGGAGTGACTGTCACATAGAGTAGCCACTTAAGGTGCTTTTAGAAAGGAGGGGTAGGAACCCGACCAAGGTAGGAAATAGGCTGAGTTGGAGGAAAGTGACTGAAGGCTTGGGTGTCAATATTGGAGCAATGGGGCGGCAGTCCTCATTTAGTGGAGTGGAACTGGAGGAGACCACAGAGGTATTAGGGCTGGAGGCATTTGGAAATCAAAACAAGGATCTTGAATAGGGAGCCAATTGAACTTGGTGAAGATGTGGAGATGTGGTACACAATCGAGTGGGGAAAAGGATACAGCAGAGTTTTGATTAATAATAATAATAATAATAATAATCCTTGCATTTGATATAGCGCTTTTCACGTCGGGAGGACGTCCCAAAGCGCTTCACAGAATATACTGTAAAGTGAGTTGACTGTATATTTGTGGGCGAACGCGGCAGCCAATTGCGCACAGCAATGTCCCACAAACAGTCATAGATTGAAAATGACCAATTTATTATTGTTTTTTGGTTTTGGAGGGATTATTATTAGGCGTGTGGAGTAAGGAAACTTGCCCAAGGTTTCGCCCTGCCTGGAATTGAACTCAGGTCTCTCGCTTGCAAAGCGAGTGCTCTAACCACTGAGCTACAGGACTCCACAAGTTGGAGGTCTGTATGTAATGCAGGTACAGAAGCTGGAACTTGTACAAAACTTGAAGATTAATTATACAACAGATTGTGAGGTTTTTTTTGCATTTAATACAAATTTTGTACAACTCCTAAGTTTTGAACATTTGACATCTTATTCAGTAAAGGGGTATGTCATTGCCTAAGGGGCAAATCTTTCCATAGCAAAAAGATAAAAAATGTTTTCATTTGCCCATAGTGTATAAACCAAATATACATTCTGTCTGAGGGATAGTTTCATATCTGTAGTAGAACTCCATTTGACTGGACTGAGTTTAAAACAACATTTTAAAATAGAAATTAAACTTATAAATTTAACCATTCCAGGAGAGGTCAACTATTCTTCTTCTATTAACATTTTTCAGTTAGATAGTTAAATCTAGAGCCTGACACTAGAGCTTAATATGTCAGGTTAGTGTAGCTCATCAGAGCCCAAGAAGTATTATGGTACATAGGCTTTTATGCAGTTTTCCCCACACAATGAGTTCTCAAACGTCTCCTGGAAAGGAAATGGCAATTTGGCAAGTCTGCTATCCTCTTTTTGCTGGAGAGGCTGCTTAATACTGTAAATCCATTGAATGGGAAATGGGTAAAATAACACACATGGGTACTACTTTTAAATATTGATTGTTCTGTACCAAAATTGTTAAATATTTCCCATTCTCATATGATTGTATCCTGATCATGTAATTCTTGGAATGAAGTAATACAACGTGGTCCAGTATCTTCTTACTATTCTGCTTCTTAATAATCGATACCTCAATTTCAGAGAAACGCAGATCAGCTTGTACTTACATTATAAAACAGCAGTTTCAAAGCAACTTCAGTCCTCAAATGGGCTAAAATTGTGCTGATGAACAGATATAAACAAAATCCACTTCATTATTTATTTTGAACCACTGTTAAAACATAGTTCAGTACACTCTATTTATGTGTATGTATTTATTGAATTCTTTCTGTGTTTTTATACACACATTCTGCTGCAGCTGGTGACTGCAACACTGTAGAGTGGTAATACAGTTGGGTGATGTGTCTAAGATATCAATGTGTTACATCAGTGTAATGGCCAGGACATGTTTGTAGCATTTCAGTACATACATTGCAACATTAACAAGACATTTGAAGCATTTCATGTATCTAAAGAATTGGAGTTCGTCTATTTGTTTAAATGGTTTATCTACAGCAGGGTCGTCCCAACATTTTAGCTGCAGAGGGCTGGATGCCGGATTTGAGAAACGTCCGCGGGCCACATAGCAGTATTTTTGCGTTTCCCTTCCAGAAACCTAATCTGTAAGAATCATATAGAAATCCTGTTTTAAAATGTGCAATTGTATCACTTACTAAATGGGAATATAAAAATTCAAACAAATTTTAAAACAATAATACAACCAGTCTCCCTATATGGCTGAGTGTGTGTATGTGTGTCTCACTGTCTGCGTCTCTGTACCGGTTTCTCTCTGTTTTTGTATCTGTCTCTCTGTCTGCATGAGTCTCTGTATCTGTCTCTCTCTTTGTTTGTGCGTGTCTATGTAACTCTACAGCTGTCCTGTAAAGGTCCTCCCACCACGCTGAAGGCAGATGCCCGACAGATAGTTGATGAGGAAACTTTAAGGCTTGGGGCGACTGCTGCTGGATGGTCGTGAACACGTGTCTGTACATCCAGCACCTGGAATCCACCTTGATTGGCCTACAAAGAGGCAAGCAGCTGCTGCTTAAACTCCGCACCTCCAATTGTTGGAACCAGTGCTCAGTGGGAAGGGATGCGTGCCCGAGCTGCGGACAGGAAGGTGGTGACAATGCTCTCACACATTTCATGCTGAAATGCGTAGGTACCAGGAAGCTCGCAGGGAATTCTCTTGTACCTACTAGCCACCTAGAAAGGGCTCAAACCCACATTTGTCAGATGTTGAACGACCAACTAGTGACTATCCTCCTGGGTGGACGGGGCCTCCTTGGAGTTGAACTGGCTCCTGCGTGACATGCCTAGCAGCAGAATGTCGGAATCAAGCCAGCCCTCTTTAGTGGTCTCGGTTGTCTGGTTCCTGAGCCAGGTGGGTCTGCAGTATTCCAGGGCACTGCTGATGACAGCACAGCTAGCCTGGCTCATTAACAGGACCTGGAAGGGTAGACCAGACACTGGGGGCAGGGAGTCGTCCCAATCAGCTCCTGTTACCCCTGCAAGCCAAAGCCCTTACGGGTAGGGTGTGCCTAGCTGGATAAGCAGCAAGAAAGCTTGCTGGTTAGCAATATCAATGGCAAGCTATGCATTTTTAGCTGGTTATACTCCCAGCAGTACCCCAGTGCACACTCAGGTCTCCAAGCCTTGGCTCTTTCTAACCTGTGCCTAAAACTTTCTGGAATTAGGTAAGCAGGATTCCTCTCTCCAGGGAGAGAATGCGCATTGCATTCCAACAATCTATCTCTGGGATTTCCATGTGTTGGTGGGATACGTGGAAATCTTAGCTTGGTTTGGATACGCTTAAGAAAGGTGATGGACCACATGAGTCGGACACCCGATTGACCCCCAAAAATCTAAAACTTATCTCCGCCTTTGACTCTCTCTTTCTATTTGTGTCTCTGTCTCTCCCTGTCTCTGTGTCTCTGCATCTCTCTGTTTGGATCTGTCTTTCTCCTGTTATCGTTTTGACAAGTTTTGCTGCTAACCGACATCTCGAGTTGCGATTTTTCTTGGCGGGTCAGACCAGGCCTGGGCTCCAGATACACAGTATGACTGCTCTCGGACCAGATAAAATCATCCCTTGGGCCGACAGTTGGCTGTCACCTTGATCTAGAGTATAAATAGTGACGATTTGTTAAACCTAATTGGATGCAATAATTATTCAAAGGTGAAGTTGACCAAATAAAATAGCGCAACTGTCCCAAGGGCAATAGAATACAGGTTCCACCTTTTGGATAAATATAATATTTAACAGGATCCTATTCCATTCTGTTTATATCCTAGTTCTAAAGAGATAAATGCTAACAAAGGTGCAGTACATTTACCAAAGATTAATGTACTGCAGCAATGGAATATGATGCAATAGACATTTTATCAAAGCAGCCAAAAATTGATTCAGTAGTACAGGCAGCAGTCACGACTAGTAAGTACATGGACTATTTTTAATTGATTAATTTAATTGGTTATACTGTTGACTTTT